ACTTCCCTGCATATTGACAGACATTGCTGACACCACTCACTCTTACCTCATGTCTCCTGTGGAACTACCCTAGTCCATCCAAGGCTGACATCATGCAGGCAGCCCAAATAAGGACCACCACCATTGCAAGCAATTCCTGCCCCAGGGAGAAGGGAAGATTACTGCACATGTCAGTCCAATCACACATGCCATGGACAACGCAGGGAGAAAACCTTGCAGTTCAGTGCTACTGAAGCTCTAGCAACCCCTGGTCTGACTCAACTCAAGCTCAAGGCAACCCCAGACTGGCCAAATTACAACACAGGGACCAAACCTTGCCCACAACAGGCAAAGAGAACCGTTGTAGATGACTAGACTGAAGGCAAACATGACTAAGCCACAACAGTAGGGCACATACAACACACATAGGAGACATCCCTGAATGCCAATGTCTGGTAAACAGAGGACATTGTACTGCAAGACACCATAGGACCACTTCTTCATACACCCATGACTTTCAAGAGTCAGGAATGTAGCTGACTTTCATAACACATAGAAATAGACACAGAGAGTTAGACAAAATGAGGAGACAAAAGAATATGTCCCAAATGAAAGGACTGGACAAGGAAGCTAATGAAACAGAGATAAGCAATATACCTGATAGAGAATTTAAAGTAATAGTCATAAACATACTCACTGGAATGGAGAAAAGAGCAAAAGATTTGGTGAGACACTCAACAAAGAGATAAAAAAAACACAAAAAAGAACCAGAGATGAGGAACTCAATAACTGAAGTTAAAAATCACTAGAGGGGAAAAAATAGTACAGTAGAGGAAGTAGAACAGATCATTGACTTGGAGAAGAGAGTCATGGAAAGCAATCAAGCTGAACATGAGAGACAAAAAAGAATAATAAAAGATGAAAATAGATTAAGGAAACTCTTCCGACTGAGCCAGCCAAGTGCCCTGGGAATGCAAACTTCTGCAGCCACTGTGGAAGACAGTATGTAGGTTCCTCAAAAAAAATGAAAACTAGAATTACCATATAATCCAGTAATTCCACTACTGGGTATTTACCCAAAGAATACAAAAGCTAACACTAATTTCAAAAGATATATGTACCCTTATGTTTATAACAGCATTATTTATAATAGGCAAATTGTAGAAGCAACCCAAGTGTCCATGGACTGATGAATGAATATATATAGGAATATTATTCAGCCATAAACAAGAATGAAATTGTGCCATTTGCAACAATATGGATAGAGCTAGAGAGGATATGCTAAGCGAAATCAGAGAAAAACAAATACCATATGATTTCACTCAATATGGAATTTAAGAAACAAACAAAAAAAAACAACAAAGAAAAAAGAAAAAATAGGCTCCTAATAATAGAGGACTGGAAGTTATTAGAGGGAAGGAATGGAGGAAATGGGTGATAAGGATTAAAGAATACACTTACTGTGGTGAGCACTGAGTAATGTACAGAACTGTTGAATCACTATATTGTACAACTGAAATTAATATAACATTGAATGTTAATTATACTGGAATTAACATTAGAATTTTTTTCCAAAAAAAAAAAAAATACAAAAGCAAGCAGATAGCATATAAACAAATGAGTGTGTCTGTGTTCCAATAAAACCTCTTTAGCGTCATTGAAATTTTGGCTTCATGTAGTTTTCCATGACCAATTTGGCTTATGGACCATAGTGTGCCAGTCCTGATCTAGAGTTTTAGTACTTGCTTCTTTTTTCAAAAATTATCATCTTTAGAGGTGCCTCAATAGCTCAATCAGTTAAGCATCTGCCTTTGGCTATGGTCATGATCCTCGGGTTCCCGGGATCAAACCCACAACAGGCTCCCAGCTCTGCAGGGAGTCTGCTTCTCCCTCTGCCCCTCCCTCACACTTGTGCACTCTCTCTCTCAAATAAGTAAAATCTTTTTTTAAAAAATATCATCTTTAGAAAATCAACACCTAACAATTTTAATTATATATTTTTCTCTTTTTTTTTTTGCTCATCATGTTCTCAAACCCTGCTTCCTCCTTTTGAGATCATTTTTCTTCTTACTGAAATATATGCTTTCATCTTCCTTTATTCAGATTAATAGCTAACATTTACAAGATGCTTATTTACATGCTAGGCACTGGTCTAAGTACATTACATAAATGAGTTTATTTAATCAATACAATATCCTATAAGGTAGATCCTATGAAATGTCTTATCCTATGAAAAGTCTTTATTTATTTCACCTTCACTCCTGAATAAGTTTGGCTGGTAAAAGAATTCTAGGTTTGCTATTATTTTCCCACACTTTAAAAATAATTCTATGAAATGTCAATTTGGTTTTTGTCTCTTTTTAGGTAATCTGACTTGTCTCCAAAAGCTTCTGCAGTTTTTTCTTTTTTCCTCTATTAGTAGGTATGAATTTTTTTTTTTTATCTTGTATGGTCTTCAAAGAAATCTTTCAAACTATGGACTCATATCTTTCTTTAGTTTTAGGAAATTCTCAGCCATTATCTTTTTTTTTCTTCTTTTTTAATTTTTTTTATTATTTTTTTTTAGCCATTATCTTTTCTTGCATTGCTTCTCCACTGTTCTACCATCAGATCTTATAATCCTATCCCCCGTGGCTCTTTCCTTTTTTATCTTGTTCTACCTTTGCATATTACATTCTGGAATACTTGTTCATTTAATCTTTCATTTCACTAATTTGTTCTTCAGCTCTACTTAGTTTATTACTGAGTTCATTTTATTTCAAACTTCATAGTTTTCCTTCCCAGGGATTGCAATTGGTTCTTTTTCATAGCTCCCCTTCTTGTTTTCATGCTCTACTCTCCTTGATCTCTTTGAGGATATAAAAAGTACTTCCTAAGTCCCTTTGAGATTGCTCCATGTGCTCTGTTTGCTTAGGAATTTATTCTCTGCTCCCCCCACACACACCTTTTTTGAACTTTTTGTGGGTCACTCCTAGTGTCTGTGTTCCTTAGATGCCTTGTGATTCTTGGATTGAGATCATCCAAAGATTTCTCTCACAATCACCTTGGGTAGTAACACTCTGACCTGGCAAGAGGAACAGCTCCGCAGCCTCATTCTCTAGAGCCCTGAGGATGACAAGTTAACAGACTGCCCATCTGGAACTACTCTACTCTTTTAAAGATCCTGGAATTCCTTGAACAAATGGCCCAAGCCTCCTTCCAAAATTTACAAGGACCATTTCCCAGAATTCAGACTCCCAAGGGCAGACTATATCCTGCTGTTTGTTTACCCTTAAACCCAAGGAGTAGCCAAGTGGCGGCTGTTTACAGGGATATGTACACAGAGACTAGAAAAATAAGGTGAGGTAATCACATGCGTACATGACAGACCCCTCATGATGTGGAACACAGCCAAAGAAAAAAGCAAGTCACAGGCAGCCTCTCCCCTGCTGCCCCATTCTACCAAAGAATCCCAAAGAATCTAAGAATTTTCAATTTAAACTTGTCCTTTCAATTCATTATAAAGATATATTTGTGAAAAATACAGAACATATTTTACTTAACAGATATTAACTTGATTTATAATTTTTAAACATCTATACATATAGTTTATAGGACTCCATTTAGACTCCGAGGCAAGGCTTCACAAATGAAGGAGTAGGCCTGACTCACAGTGTTTTTTACTGATACCTCAACCTCTGTGCTGGCAGGCGCTGAGCTTTAGTCCCACCTGTGGGTAGGAGAAAAGTCCTGCTTCCTCTAATTCAGGCAGGTAACTCAGATCTGGTTCACTACCATTCACAATCCCTCCTCATCATCATAGGTTCCCAGCTATTTCTTTATTTTAGGAAGAAATCTCCACTTCAAAACTATGGAAATTTTCTTCCTTTTTTTAAAAGTGTAGTTATGTGTACACACATTCTCTCTCTCTCTCTCTCTCCTCTCTCCACTCTCCTCTCTCAATAGCTCACATGGTTATCAGGAGAGACATCTGCAAATATTCAAGACAATTACTAACTCACACTAATATACCCATAACCAATATATGAATATATGTATATTCACATATACATACACTAATATACACATTAGTGTATTCAGAGCAGAAGGGAAAAGTTTCAGCATATTTTTTAATCTGTCATCTAGTGAAAGTAGAGCCACTGATTTCAAGTATGGATGGCAAGAATGCTTCATCTGAATTCATTAAGGTGAGCCAGGAAATGAGAATCAAACTAGGGTTCAGATATGTATATCTTCATTGCCTGTGATGCAGACTTGACCACAGCAAACCATCACAAATGGGAAACAAAAGTCATCTCATTTTAATAAAAGCCATTACATTGTACCAACTACCTCCAACACCAGGGAGGAGTTGGCGTCTCTGGTTCTCAGTTTCCCAGCTACAATCAAGTGAGTTCAAGAAGCTATTATTTCTGAAAACCCCTTTTCTGATTAATTTTTCTAATTTCACATAATATAGGCCTCAGTCAGATTTTATTGCATTCTAAGAGTGAATTTCTGAGTCAGAACCACATTAGCATTTCTGAAATAATAGCAAAAGAAATCATCCAAATCATCCAATAGGGTATTGTAAGAGAGATTTGATAAATTGCAAGATACTTTGGGCAAAGTAAGACAATATTGTTACATATGGTGGAATATACATTCAGTATTATACATTCAAAAAAGATTTATGTGTAAAAGAGTAAGAATTGCTCAATGAAAAGGAATTGATTCACTAGGAAAAACAGTGAAAGGAAGAAGGTGAGTTGTCACCAAATAACCACAAAATTAAGCTGAAATAGAACTTCAGCTTCAGGGATAAAGTACAATAACCCTCCTTTAAGTGAAAAGGGTATCTCTTTTTGAAAAAAAGTATAAGCAGAAGTATGAATCTAAGAAGTAGCTCTGTTGAGCAAGACATTTTAAATAGCAACATTTGTACCACAGTTGCCTCTGAGCACATCATTTCCAGGAACTCAAAGGTATGCAAGGTGATCAGGACAGACATCTGCAAATATCCAAGATAATTACCAACTCACCCCAAGTAAGAGTAGCCAGGGTCAAGAGCTCAGGGATTGAATCCTGACATACTACATATTCTGGAGAATACGGATCAGTTTGAACTTCAGCATCCCGATAATCAGTCTGAGTACCCACAGTATGCTTCGAAAGTACGGGTGGGTATTTAGCAGAAATAGGGAGAAAAGTATATGCCTGTGTCCTAAAAGGGAAAATGATTTTAAAAATTAAAACCTGATCCAGTCACTCAGAATACTACACAGTCAAGTAGAAATAAGTCCTTAGCTTTAATAAGCCCATTCCCCCTTTAAACATGCACAGATTCATGAATACAGTGTAACCAGGATTATGCCCAATTATCTTGAGAGAACTGCCTTATTAGTCTCACCTCTGCCAAAAACCCGAGGGGATACAGAAGTCCAGGTCTACTCACAAAAGCAGCTATTTATCTGTGTATCACTGGGCAGGACTGTAGTATAGAACCGTAAGAAGTAGATTCTAGGATGTCACAGAGTTACTTCTGAACCTGTTTAGAATTGCTACTTCCTGGTTTCTTTTTTCTCTGCTTTTAGTTACACAACCGATTTTAACTGTTTCCCTCTAGAAATTCAGGAGCAGAGAAAAGAGAAGAGATGCTTTCTGGTTTTTTAAAAAGACAAGGCTCTTTCTAGATAGATGACTCAATAATTAATGCTCAGATTATTTGGTTAGCTATAGAAAAGTTACTTCATCCCCTGGACAAAAATTAATTCCAGATATTTTAAGGTATTTAATATAAAAATGAGACTATAAAAGTATTAATAGGAAACATAAGTAAATATACCCCCTTTGAGTGCAAGTCTTTTTCAGCATGGCTCAAAAGCCTCTCTGGCTACAAAAGAAAATGATCAGTAGAACTAAGGTTAAGTTGAAACTTTTATACCTCAAAGTATCATAAATTTAAAATATGAATGGCACACTTAGAAATAGGTTCTGCAACATATATGATAAGAGTTAAACAGTCTTTCTATACAAAAAGCCCTTGTAAATCAATGACAGTTAAATACTAACAGAAAAATGAGTAAATAACAAGTCACAAAAATGAAAATTTCTAACATATGAAAAAATGACCATAACTAGTAACCAAAGAAAAGTAAAATAAAAGATAAAGATTCTGTTTTATTACATCACATAAGCAAAGATTTAAAAGATTGAAAATACCCAGGATTGATGAAGTTGTGATGAAAGCAGGCATTCACATAAACTGTTGATTGAAATACAAATAGATATAACCTAGCAGGTAACTTAGCAATATATATCTGACCTTTAAAATACTTTTTTGCCCCAGCCACTGTACTCATAGGAATTTATTCTAGGAAATAATTGGACAAGTGTACAGAGATATATGCAAACACATTCATAAAGTCTTAATGTGTAAGGGTAAAAACTTACAAAAAAATTTTAATGGCCCATTTAAAAAAAATGGTTGCACCTTAGGTTATTAGGCATCAACTTCGATTCATATTTTCATCTTTGGTTCTTTTTTTTAATTCTGGCTATTTTTAAGTACAGAAAAAATTTAGATTAATTCACTTAAACCTATGTCTACTCTTAAACATAATTTTTATAACAAGTATGATAGCACATATGCTTTAATGTTCTAGTGGTTTTTTCTTTTTCTTTTTTAAGATTATATTTTTAGATGTCCATTGACTGATGAATGGACAAAGATGTGCCACATAAATACAATGGAATATTACTCAGCCATCAAAAAGAATGACATCTTGCCATTTGCAATGATACATATGGAACTAGAGTGTATTACACTAAGTGAAATAGGTTAGAGAAAGACAAATACCATATGATTTCACTCATATGTGGAATTTAAGAAATAAAACATAGGGGAACATAGGGGAAGGGAAGGAAAAATAAAATAAGATAAAACAGGGAAATCATAAAAGACTCTTAACTAAAGAGAATAAACTGAAGGTTGCTGGAGGGGAGTTGGGTGAGGGGATGGGGTAACTGGGTGATAGGCATTAAGGAGGGCAATTGATGTAATGAGCACTGGGTGTTGTAATGCAACTGATGAATCACTCAATTCTACCTTGAAACTAATAATACACTAAATGTTAACTACTTAAATTTTTTTAAATCTAAAAAATAAAACAAAGATTTTATTTTAAACAATCTCTATACTCAATGTGGGGCTTGAACTCACAACCCCAAAATCAAGAGTTGCATGCTCTACTAACTGAGCTAGCCAGGCAACCCAACAGTGCTTTTTCCTTTTAAAGTTTGTTTCCCTCAATATCTTTTCCTCCTTTATCCACCTTTATCAGTACCCTCTATGTACATCCTAGATCTAGAATATATCCTTGAATTATCCCTGAACCTTGCTGTATTTTTATCCACATTTATTTTTCTACATACAAATATACAGAGTATTATTTTATTGTTGTGCCAACATGAATGCATTTTTGCATCTTGCTTTTTTAACTAAATCATACTTCATAGAAATCTTTCCAATCTATTCATGTGGCTCTTTTTCAAGAAAAGTTAAACTTAAATGATCGTGACCAACAGAAAAACTACTTCAAAAAATATGGCACCATATAATGGAATTTATGCAGCTATTAAAAGTAAAAATGTCGGGCAGCCCGGGTGGCTCAGCGGTTTAGCTCTGCCTTCGGCCCAGAGCGTGATCCTGGAGACCCAGGATCAAGTCCCATGTCGGGCTCCCTGCATGGAGCCTGTTTCTCCCTCTGCCTGTGTCTCTGCCTCTCTCTCTCTCTCTCTCTCTCTCTCTGTATATTCTCGTGAATAAGTAAATAAAATCTTTTTAAAAAATAATAAAAGTAAAAATGTAATCAGTATTTGTGAACATACAAAAATTGTCCATGGGGGATCCCTGGATGGCGCAGCTGTTTAGCGCCTGCCTTTGGCCCAGGGCGCAATCCTGGAGACCCGGGATCGAATCCCACGTCGGGCTCCCGGTGCATGGAGCCTGCTTTTCTCCCTCTGCCTATGTCTCTGCCTCTCTCTCTCTCTCTCTCTGTGTGTGTGACTATCATAAATAAAAAAAATTTTAAAAAAATTGTCCATGATTCAATGTAAAGTAGGAACAAAAGATACTGTAAAGCAAGATGTACAACAGAAGCTCATTTTTATATTTAAAAACTGGGTTTTGTGCATAGAAAAATGCCTAAATGGATATATAATAAATTAACAACAATTATTTCTGGATAGGACTACAGAATTTTTTTTCATGTTCATCGTTTTCTAAATTTTCTATTTTTTTAAACCTAGACATATAGTACTATTAGAACAATATTGCCATTTCCATGTAAAGGAATATGTTTTCCAGTTGGTAGAAGTATGTTAAATCACATCTTTAAAAACCTAAATATAATGACAAAAAAGAGATTAACATTTTAAAAAATAGTCAAAGGCAATGGGAGATGTTTTTAATCAGCAAAACAGGCATTCCCACCACTCGGCCAGAATTCTAAGGCTTTCTGCAGAGATTTGAAAAATGGTAACAAATGAAAGTATCAGCATCTTTAGTTCAGCATCCTTGGCTGTAGAGTATGTAGGTTCACTTTTACCTGAGAACCCTCTACAAGAACCATTTAAAAATGCTTGGAATTATATGTTGAAGAATTATACAAAGTTCCAGATTGCAACATGGGGATCCTTGGTAGTTCATGAGGTTCTTTATTTATTGTTCTGTTTACCTGGATTTTTGTTTCAATTTATACCTTTCATGGAAAAGTAGAAAATTCCAAAGGATAAACCAGAAACATGGGAAAACCAGTGGAAATGTTTTAAAGTAGTTCTCTTTAATCACTTTTGTATCCAGCTTCCTTTGATATGTGGAGCTTATTATTTTACAGAGTATTTTAATATACTTTATGATTGGGAAAGAATGCCAAGATGGTATATGCTTTTGGCAAGATGCTTTGGCTGTGCAGTGATTGAGGATACCTGGCACTATTTCCTGCATAGGCTCTTACATCACAAACGAATATATAAATATATTCATAAAGTTCATCATGAGTTTCAGACTCCATTTGGAATGGAAGCTGAATAATATGCATATTCTTTGGAAACTCTAATTCTTGGAACTGGATTTTTCATAGGAATCATGCTTTTATGTGATCATGTCATCCTTCTTTGGGCATGGGTGACTATTCATTTGATAGAAACTATTGATGTCCATAGTGGCTATGACATTCCTCTGAACCCTTTAAATCTGATCCCTCTCTCTGCTGGTTGTCGGCATCATGATTTCCACCACATGAACTTCATCGGAAACTATGCTTCCACATTTACATGGTGGGATAGAATTTTCAGAACAGACTCTCAATTTACTGCCTATCATGATGAAGAAGATTGAGAAAAAGACTCAATAAATATCTCATCTAAACCATCCTGAAAACACACACCTTTCCTGAATTGAAGCAAATAGCTAACATTGCTTCTGCAGAGCAGAAATAAACATGTGTCTTGACTGCTAAATGATACAAAGAACATTAACAACCTTTAATTATCTTTCTAGTGGGAACTTTTTCTACTTTACATAAAGTTCTGTATGTGTAGAAATAAGTAAATATATAACGAAGTATGATTTTCATGAGGAAGTTGTAAAGGCCACGTTGCTAACCTTACAGAAAGGTTTTAAGTAATGGAAGAAGTATCAATCTGTGTCTTTCTCCCAGTAACACCATAGGCCTGAAGTTAAAATTGGTCTTTAGGGCAGCCTCGGTGGCTCAGCGGTTTAGTTTACTCTTCGGCGTAATCCTGGAGACCTAGGATCAAGTCCCATGTCGGGTTCCCTGCATGGAGCCTGCTTCTCCCTCTGCCTGTGTCTCTGCCATTCTCTCTCTCTCTCTCTCTCTCTCTCTCTCTCTCTCTCTCTGTGTGTGTGTGTGTGTGTGTCATGAATAAATAAAATCTTTTAAAAAACAAACAATAATAAAATAAAATAATAAAATAAAATAGGTCTTTAAAATCTTGCAAATATATGGTAGCCATTTCAGTATCTCTTATCAGGGTGTTAGCTTCACATTGAACTTTAAATATTTTCTAGAATTTGCCTAAACATCCAAGTATCATGGGTCGAACCATATCAATCGACAGAGTGAGGCTGCCAAATCAGAAACAGGCCGCCCCAAGAACTTCCACTCTTGTCCTGAGCTGACTGGTTTGGGGTGATTCTCC